AGATATCCATAACTAACCTTTGCAGTTGTACTCTCAAGTCTTCCTTGGGAACATGATGGATGGAATAAATGTCTGCAAGATTCTGAGAATGGGGCCATGCAAACAATAGGCACATCACACATGCACACTTCATATAAATTGACAAAAACTTGGGTTAATGTAACAAATTTTAAATTTAATGAAGCGAAAACTTAAGATTTCAGGTTAATAACTATGCCATGTTGCACATCCTCTATATCTGAGACCTTACATCTAACAGGGATTGATTTGGGGAGAAAGGTTAAGAGCTAAATAGTCTCCCAGGGTTGGTACCTCATCATTTGGGGCCTATGACTTTGCTTTGAGTGAAACTGAAATGCACGTTGCTGTCCTAATGAGACAATATCACAGCTGATGGACTGCTTCATTTTATAAAACTTAAAATGATTCTCCCTTAAAATTTCCTCCCTTATTATCCTCATTTTCTAAAAGCTTTCTCAGAAACCCACATACTTAGAATCTTGGAGTCCTATCACACCATATGACAGTCCTATCCTCACCACACTTGAGGTCAAGTTTGGGATCTTAATGTCCCATCTTTAGGGCCCTACCAAATTCACAGTCCATTTTGGTCAATTTCACAGTCATAGGATTTTAAAAATCATAAATTTCATGATTTCAGCTTTTTAAATCTGAAATTTCATGGTGTTGTAATTAATTGTAGGGATCCTGGCCAAAAAGGAATTGTGGGGTGGTTGCAGAACTGCTACCCTTACTTCTGCGCTGCTGCTGGTGGTGGCGCTGCCTTCAGAGCTGGAGAGCAGTGGCTGCAGGCCGGAAGCCCAGCTCTGAAGGCAGAGCCCCCACCAGCAGCAGTGTAGAAGAAAGAATGGCATGGTATTGTCACTCTTCTGCAATACTGCCTGCAGAACGGAGCCCTCGGCCAGCAGGTGCCATTCTCCGGCCACCCAGCTCTGAAGGCAGCAGCACAGAAATAAGGGTGGCTTGGTATGGTATTGCCACTCTTATTTCTCTGCTGCTGCTGGCGGGGCGCTGCCTTCAGAGCTGGGCCCTCGGCTAACAGCTGCCGTTCTCTGGCCACCCAGCTCTGAAGGCAGCGCAGAAGTAAGGGTAGCAGTACCGTGACCTTCCTAAAATAACCTTGCAACTCCCTTTTGGGTCAGGACCCCCAGTTTGAGAAACGCTGGTCTCCCCCATGAAATCTGTATAGTATACTATAGGTTAAAAGCACACAAGACCAGATTTCATGGTCTGTAATGCGTTTTTCATGGCTGTGAATTTGGTAGGGCCCTACCCATGTTGAATTGGTTTCACTCTTGGTAATGCTTTTCCTGGAGCCCTGCCTCTAATTAGCCATGTTTGCTTTCATGTTCCACCTTTAAATTTAGTGGATGTGGTGAGAAATCTTCTGCTCCAAATTAGTTGAATTCAATGTGCAGCATGCCCAGTCTCACTCTAGCGCCCATTCCTGGGGAGGTGCAATTACTTTTCCCTTCTATGTCCAGGCTCCTAAAGCTGTTATGGATTTGCTTTCCAGATCAAGGGGATGAAGGACCGTCTGGAGTTCTGGTGCACAGATGTGAGGAGCATGGAAATGCTGGTGGAGCACCAAGCCCACGATATCCTAACATAGAAGACCTTGCACTGCCTGAGCAAATAACTCTTGCTGCTGCTGAAACTGGTGGTGCTCAGACCACTGTCTCTGTACAGAATTATATTAAAGGGGGGGCTAGGGGAGGTCGGGAAGAACTACTTTTTGATGCTTGTACAGAGGAGTAAGTGGCCTTTACTGTGTAACCCTTTGGTGCTTAAGTCAGGAATTCCCTGTGCGCCAACGGTCTGCTAGCCCTGACCATAGGAGCTCCTGTCCTACTGTCACCAAGGGGATAAGGGCTCAATAATGGTGGTTGAATCAGTCTTAGTGTCAAACTATTGCATTGGAGGGTGCTGGTGGTAGCTACATGGTAGAGTCATTAGCCCAGTAGATGGGTGCATCTGTCCTAAACTGTGCTAGAGAGAGATGCCATATTCCCACTATCAGGCATTGCTGATGTGGTGATTGGACTTGAGAGAGAATGACTTTCTGCCCCGTAGCCCCTCCTCCCAACAGTCCAAAGGCAGCATTACCAAGACACCCCACCCCCACAGCTGGCAGTAAAGGGAGCTGCTCACCCCATCAGTGGGTTTGCCAGGAATAAAATCATTAATTTAGTGCATTTGGTTTTATATCCTTTTTGGGTTTATTCTTGTCTTTCATGAACACTTTATTGTGAAGTGTAGTGCAGCAGTACTGCTGGAATAAACTTCTCTGCCTTCCTTCTTCTACAGTTCTGTTCACATGCTTTTGTGATAACTCTTGGGTTGTGTCCTGTTTAAGGGGTGAACTGAAATATTCTTTAAAATCTAATTGAATAACGTAAGATATTACACAGCATGCCAGGTGTAGTCTTCATTACAGATCAATACATTTTAACAATGAATTGAAACATTGGTGACTGCCAAGAGCAGCATTCAAGGTTCTGTCTTGTTAGGAGCTGTGTTTCTGACACATTTCTCAACATCTCTGACTCTGTCACCCATACTCACATGGAGTAGCAATTTTCTGTGAGGAAAGGTGACAGAACCAGGCTGCAGATAATGAACGTTTTTCTAATACAGTTTAAGCTTCATTGCTTTGGTTTAGTTGCCTTCGTATTCTGGCACTGTCCATGGCTCTTATACCAGTGTTTAGTTAAATAGTCTTTCAGTTCAATGATAGTCACTTTTCCATAGTATTACTATTAGTATGGCCAGGTTGGGTCTTTCATGGGGGTGGTGGATTTTTCATACAGCCAGGAGAGAAAGCTGGTAAAGGGGCCCATGACCAGTCTATTTGAAAAAACACCTTTCTTGGGCTACTAGTTCAGCTGGGGGAATTGACAGAGCAATTGTGGGGGTGGGGCACAGGTGCCACATCCAGGAGATGGCTGCCTGCTGCCCTAGGCTATGATGGTACAAGCGCCAAAGGAAATGTGGTGTGTGAGCATAAACACTAGTCAGGATGATACCCAAGCAGGTCTTTAATCTCAACTAGGTGGCTGGTGCTCTTTTGAGTGTGGCACTCACATCAGTTGGGCAGATGGTGTCAAATGAAAAATAAATTATAGTGACAAACTTCCAGGAAGCTTTATAAAGTTAGCTTTAAACAGGAAGGTCAAATATTTATATTCTTGCACCATGTGCTTGGGACAGTATCCTAGGACTGGCTTATTCTGAAAGCTGGCATGCTATTCACCAGTGCTTGTGCCTATATTTCATCAAAGTATACAAGTCGTATTTCTTCACCAGGCAAAGACTCCAGCCACCACAGTAGGATTTCCCACAGTTGTAGTTCTGCATATGGTCTTCAAGTCTTTCCTTACACTCGTGACAAGCGCACCACAAAATAGGGTACATGTTAGTGCAACAATGGTGAACAGAGGTTGAGAAGATCTGAAGGTGTGAGACTTGATTAGATATACACCAGTTTCACCTGTGGAGTTTGTAGTTAGGTTATAAAATGACTTAATCCTTTTAGTCTCTGACTTCTGTGTTCAGTTCAATGACCTTGCCTGACAGGGAATTCCTGCATAAATAGCATTTCCTTCTTTATAGGTTCTAAATTATTTAATTTCAGCAAGTGGCCCCTTGTTTTCACATCTACCATCATGTTCCCTAGCCATGCCACTCTGTCAAACTCTATTTGGAGAATCTCTGCATCCTCCCTTGTTTTAGCCACTGAAATAATTCTGTGATGTTTGCAAGTGTCATGGTCCATTTCCTCCTCCCAACCTTGTGCAATCTGAGAATTTCCTGTATTTATGCTCCAAGTCATTAATATACGTAAGACTGCTCACAAACCTCATTCCTAAAACACTCTCATGATTTAGTCTATGATGCACAGGGAAGGAGCAAATAACCATGGTTAGGAATATATTTTCTGTCATATTTCAGGGTTGGGCTAAGTGGAGGGCTTTTAAAAATAAGGTAGAACCTCACTAGTTCACGCTGATCGAGAGCCACTGGAAAGTAGAGAGTAATGGAACAAACATCATAAAACCGAGTTAATGTATCACTTGGCAGTTTAGTTTTAATTGCAATACTTAATAGGTTCCTAATTCTCAAAGCAATGGAGCTCAGGAGACCTCATTACAGCCCTTTCAGTAGTGTGGTGAGAGGGCTAGGTTTGGTGTGAGATGGGCATGCGGGGGGAACCACAGAAGTGGATTAGGGAGTTTCCCCTGTCCTAGTGAACCATGGGCTTTTACTGTATTAACCTTTTCAAATAACTCTGGTAGGCTCCATAGACATGATATTCACTGAAGAAACTAATCCCTGTTTGAATGTGACCGGGTTGTAATGATAAAAGCGGTGTTACTGCCCCCTTTTTGAATTACCCTTGCAATCGGCTTTCCTGGAACAGCCTTGGCTGTGTTTGCTTGGCACTAATTCTCCCAATTCCCCATTAGCTATTTGGGGGGAGTGGAGGGGGGTCGGGGGGAGAAACGACATGTGGCCTAGATCCACAAAAGTATTTAGGCTCCTAACTTCCATTGATTTCAGTGCAAGTTAGGATCCTATATAGTGTTGTGGATCTGGGCCAATGGGCCTGATTTTTCAGAGAGCATCTACAACAGCTAAAGTCTGTAACTATAAATGTGCAGCACTCCTGAGAAGTAGCCCCCACTTAACAGCTTCCCACTGGACAGTGAATGGCCATGTAGCATATTCTTGCCAGTATCTCTGCTCTATTGCACTTTAGTGACTGGGCTTGCACCCTGAGTGCACTTGAGCGCATAGTAAGTTGTTCCTCATGGACTTGACTTAAGGCTACACTGTAAAGTTGGTGAGTGGGGATGCATGAAATGTCCGGCTTAAGAGGAAAATCCCATTGTGCTGGGTGTAGTACAGATCAGGGTCTACCCCAACCAACATATACAATCCAATTCTTCTACCCAAACAAAAACCTGCTGAGCCCATTGTGTTTTTCATCGTGTTTTAATTATAAAATCCTTAAAGGTCAGTTTGCCATGAAGGGGTTCGTTCAATAGTCTCCTCTTCCCATTCTCCTAAACTAGGCTGGATGCAGCTTCCTCCTGTGTCTCACTCGCTAGGCTTGTGCTTGTAGTCCTCCAGATGTGCCAGAATCCAGCCGGAGGGGATTAGGAAGGCTGCAAACATCACAGTCAGCGCGATGGCTTGATCCTGCCAATGGGAGAGAAATCAGAGGTCATATAGGGTCTTCTGCAGCCCCCCATGTGTCATGGATCAGTATAGAGATGGGACATCTTGCTGGGATTTAGGGATTCAAACTGTCTGTGTAGCTGGTTCCAGTGTGTCTCCATTTTGTGTGCACCCCAAACTCCTACTGACTTCAGTCAGAAGTTTGGGCATGCAGGGAACGTGGGGCCAGGTTCACAGAAAGATGGGGAGAGGAGGAGGAGCTATGGGTAAATGCACTGATTCCCACTAGCTCTGGACTAAATGTGGTTTGATATGTCAATTTATTTTTGTCACTGCATGTTTGTGTATTTCTGCATCTCATTTTGGGCATGGAAATCAAAGTAACCCAGCTCCCTAGCCCAGCTCCTGCCATTAGCTGGGACCTGGTTTGGGACAACATGGTTCATAAGCACCTGCTTCGAAAAACAGGACTCCTCCCAGCACCACCTACTGGCATAGAGCCGAGCTTCCCTGTTCTGGTTTGGTTAGTTCCCATAGTTCAAGAAATCCCAGGCCATAAAATTCAGCCCACACATGCAGGGCTCGGTCTAATGTCTCAGCAAGGTTCCAGGCGTAGGACGTATTCAAAGCAACCCAGCAATAACTGCTCACTCTCGGCCTTCCAAGGTCACTGCTCAGTGCCATGAGCCCACCAGTTCCTCAGATTCAGCAAGAAGGTTGCGGCCTGGGAATGCATTCCCGAAGGGCACAGTGACAATCAATCTGACTTTCAAATCACTTTGAGGTGCCAAGAACAGTAGCAATGGCCTGGACAAAGTTTCACCTAGTAACAAGTTATCTGGGCTGGCTGCAAACAGTCTTAAGTTAACTCTACATACAGCTGTAATACATTAACCCTTTGTGCTCTGTTCCTGAGAGCAAAGCATATTAATAGAATAAAACTTTGGACCAAAGTTTGAGGCTCTTATTCAATTTTTATTTAGACCTTACTCTGGCAAAGCTTCTCTGGGGCTCCTGAGTAAGGAATGGGGAACTGAGTAGCAAGTCAGCATCTCAGGATTGGACTCTCTTAGGTTTAGTATAGGCCTGGGCCCCAGCTCACACATAATCTCTTGGAAAAGGAGAGAAAAGTAGGAAAAGAACGGGATTCTGCACAGCTACACGTTGATGGTAGCAGATGCAATTTCAACTGGGTAAATTCCCATTTTACAGGCTTGACTAAAATGAGGGTTTGTGTGGAGGCGATCTGACAGAGAGGGAGGGGTTAGACAGTATCTATAGAAATACAAACAAAACAAGAGTAGAGTGAAGCAAACTGCGACACAACCTCTTATGAGACACCCAGATACCCTGTTGCTAGATCTCAGAGCTAGAGCTAGAGCTAAAACGGTAGGCGGTTGCAGTATGACCCCTTCTTGCCCCGCCCCCAACAAGGGGAATGTTTTTTATAGCCAGAATGAGACAGTGACTTCTTTCCATATGACTTTTTTTTTAAAGTTTCTTTTTATTATTGGCCTGTTGAGAAAGAGGCGCCCATGTTCACATATGAACATGGCACTCCTGGCAGGCTCCACAAAACAGGGAGCTGGGTTATTTTAATGGAAGAAACAGAGTTTAGTTTCTGCCACTGTCTGTTTGTTTAAAGTTATACCATAAGTCAGCCTGCAGGTGACTGATCACCACTGTTTCCTGGTACGTGTAACAGATCTGACCAACAATGGATTCTGACTTAACCACTGTCACAGCCTCCAAAGAGGCTTCTTTTTTTAACCCAGTAGATGCCAAGTTGAGTAAAAAGTAGAGAGATTTTTGTCTCTGTTCACACAGTTTGTCCCCGATCCCTCAGTGAGCTCCATGTAGGCAGATCCTTGCATCTGTGCAATGTTCCATTGATTCCAATATCACCCATGGAGATCTCTGCAGGATCAGAGGTCTTTGTTTGGGGTCTTCACCTTACCAACTATGCAAAGCAGTTCACAAAGCAGGGAACTGCCTCTGCAGGGAAAGAACATTTCCTATCAAAATCAGGAGCAGCACTAGCTTCTGTGATGGCACTGAGTGGAGCAGAGTTGAGCCCAAGCCACACAGTGCAGGTCTAGATCCCACTCTCCCTGCGATTAGAAGTGGGATTGTGGTTTGGCCTGTTACAGGCTCAGGCCTGCTGGGCATTCGCACCCAGAATGTCTCTGCACTGCCCACAAGATGAAAAGAGGCCCTTTTCTGTCATTTGACTGATGAGAGAAAAAAGTAGAGTATAAAGAAAGATAACCCTTGGGAATCGAAGTGAGTCAACTTCAGTTACAGCCATACAGCCCCACTGACTTCTGTGCGGTCACTGAGAGCAGAATTTGATCCATCATGTGACCTGATCGGCAATTTGTAAGAAAAGGGTTGGTTTTATTCCTGAGTGAAACTCATCATTTCCCTCTTTCTTTATACTTTTACTTTCACGTCCTAATGAAATTCAACAAATGGAAAAACACCAGTCGCAGCTTCTCCTTTCCCCACCCCAAGGAAAACTTACTTAAGTTTCTCCTTTTCTTAAAAAAATGTCAGTATTTAACTTTCTCGCTGCATTATTTATATTTTCTTTTCCATCAGAGCCCCTTTTTGCTGTCACACACAGGGAGATACTTGTCATTTTAGATGATCCCAATGATATCAGCTATATTTTTAATCAATTTTGAGTGCCCAGAAGACAATAAATTGCTACATTTACAATAATAGATTATCACCATTCCCCTAAACAAAAGGTTACTCACAGCTGGAGTGACAATCTCCTCTGGTGCTCCAGAAACAATATTTGCTCTGGGAACAATCTGATTCCTCACTGTTGCATTGAGCAACCTGAATGCACGTTGAAAACCCAACATGGCCCTTCTACTGTGTTCTCTTCCAATCCAGGCTCTGTACCCTTTGTAGGGAGTGTAGCTAGTCCAAGCCTGTGGGCTGTGCGGCTGCAGCTGTCTGTGTCACAAGTTCCTTGTGTGAAGGCAGTTTAAGATTTGCAAGTTTTTGCTCTGGTGCCAGATGTCAAAGTGATAAACAAGTTCAGTTGCTTCATGCCTGCAGAATTAATTTGGTTCTGATTGGCTGGGGAGTTGCTTGGTCACACCCTCTGATAAGAACAGGCAGCCACATATGGTTTCCTAAGTTTAGTACAGGGGGACTTCTGGATGACAATGTCTGAACTTGCTTCATTTGTGAGTTTGCCTGTGTGAGATTAGTGCTATTTCACAGCTGAAAGGGGAACAATAAAGGCTGCATGATGGAAACATTCAAGTGCATTGGAGCAGACCTTTGAAAAGCACCTCTATGAGGGAGAGATCTGCTTAAAGAAAGCATTTAACCTACAGAAATAGAATAAAGTCCTTTTAAAGAAAACAGAATTAATGTTTCTGAAGAAAAAGAGTGTAGTCTAGTTATTAAAGTGGGGAGACTAGGAGTCAGGAAACCTGAGTTCTGTTCCTGGCTTTGCCATTGGTGTGTTGTGGGACTTTGGGTAACTGAGCCTCAGTTTTCCCCTTTGTAAAATGGGGATAATCCTACCTGCCTTACAGGGGTGGTGGGATGGTTGACCAATGTTTGTGAGGTGCTTGGAGCTCCTCAGAGGAACGGCACCAGAGTTAGCATGTTTCAGATGGGAAAAAGCAATAGAAAACGGACCTGACCTACGGATTAAATATATTGCTTGTGTGCCAAACCCAAATATAGTCCACAACACAGTGGAGCTTTCTGCAACAAACCCCTCTGTTAGGAGCATGTTGTACTGGGATGGGTCTGAAACCTGACTTCTGTGAATGAGTCAACAGGAGGGAGTTAGCTGAGAACACGCTGCAGGTACAGTTTTTAGGAGGAGCGAGTGGATACAGGGAAATGAGTGCTTAGCTGTCAACCACAGAGCACGCTGCACCTGAACCCATCCTCCTTCAGCTTATGTGCTGGGCCAGGCCCCAGAGTGCAGGGGCTTTGGAGCCTTCAGCGAGGCCCTTGCTGAGCCTCTTCTCATGTGGCGCCGTGGGAAGACAGTTGTAGTATAACCTGGTGACACAATAATCTCCCCGATGGTACTGCAACCCTGGACGTGCTGTAGTGAATGTGCACTGTTAGGGGTCAGTCAGCAGCTTTTAATGTGGCTGGTGGGGAGGGCTTGGATTTCTGCCCAGCCCCAGTTTTTATGGCCAGGAGCACATAGTGACCCAGGCTTTGGTAGGTGGAGGACCCACCATTTTCCTTCCCACCCTGCTGCCGATCAGAACTGTTTGCTTTAACGACCTGAGCTGCTGCCAGGAGAGCTGACGTACCACCCTTCCTCTCGCATTCCCTGCAGCTGAACTTTGCTTCCCCTCGGCCTTGCCAGCACTCTCAATGTTTGTACGATGAACAGGCACTTTCAGAACTGGAGCTGGGTAAACAAGGACTAGTCGGAAAGCCAAAGTTCAAGGCTGATCCTTTACTCACAGGAAAGTCTGTGTCTAGGATGCTGCTGTCACTCCCTCTGGCTTACCCTGAATTTCTTCTCCTTTTCCAAGTTTCATGGTTAAAAAGTGGGTTTCGTGCTGGACTTGAGAAATCCTGTGCTCACGGAAAGGGCACAGCCTAGAGGCAGTGGCAATCTGAGCTTCTCCCCTCACTGCTCCGCTAACGTGCTGAGCTGCAGAACTACTTGGTGGTCTGAGTTTCCAGGCCTGTTGTATCCTCGCATGCGAGTGCCAGCCGTGCTGGGTATTACTGAGCGACGTGAACACTGCTCCATTAGGAAAAACTGAGCCCGTGAACTCATTCCTATTGGCCAAAAACCAACCACTGTCTGGTTACAGTGACTGGTCATTAGTGACCTAGAGGTTTTCCTCTCTTTCAGACCCCTCTTTCCCTGAATGGCCTCTGAGCAGGGACAGGATCCCCAGAGCCATCATGATGGTCACCATTAGCCATTTCATGTATTGGGTTCCTACCATTATGTGTGTTAGGTTTGCATTTCACAGTAGTGAAACATTCAGGCTTGAAGCTAAGTGATGTTCTCTGCACAGACTCAGTGAAGGCTCCCTGTGTGTATGAGGCATTGCTCACTGTCCGTGCTATCACCTCCCCCACTGGCACCCTCCCCTTCAAATTCCTGTCTAATGGGAGCTCAGACTGGAATGGAACTCTGGTTACTGAGCTGGAAAAGCACTGCTTTGTTAATCACATTGAGCCAGGCTGTGCTAGCGATTTCAGGGTCGATCCCACACTGGCCCCCAACCTATCTACAGAAGTCACTGCAAGGGGAGGTAAGTTCCCCAGGCTCGAGCCTAGTCCCTGCGCACTTTTAGGATTAAGAAAGGAAGCTATAAACTCAAAGATCATAGCTGAGAAAGGGGAACAGCATCCCTGTAACTTTCAAAGGCCAGAAGTGCATACGATTATTAGGCAATCCCCAGTCTTCTATTCCCCACTCCCCTGCAGCGAGGTGTTAAAACAAGTCAAGGTACAAAACAGCCCTGTCTGTTTAGCTGCTGACAATCCACACAGAGCTCTCCCCTCTGGGCTCAAGAATGCTGTCTGTTTTCAATTACCTTCCCTTACCCTCTGCTTTGCACAACTCCTCCACCTAACAGCTGCTAGGAGACCAGTTATGATTTCATGGTATCTCTGTCTCTGCAGTTTGTGGGACATGTTTGTACATTGTCTTTGGAGGGAGAGAGCGAGCTGCTGCTTTCATAGAGCACTGGAAGGCTCAGCTTGACACCCTATAAATAGCATGCGCAGATAGATTAGAACAGAGAGCTGGTTAAAATGATTTTGCATTGAAAAATGCAGTTTCATTTAAATGTGTAGTAAAAACAGTTCAATTTCAACTATGTTTTCAGTATTTCTGTGAAAAATATTCAAACCAAAACTAAATAAAATCTGTAATTTAGCTTTTCATGTAAATTTTCATTTCAATTTGTTTTTTGAAAAACAAAACAACAAACAAACATTTCAATTTGAAATGAGATGAACATTTTCAGTTAATTTTTTTGTTGAAAAATCAAAATTGTCTGGAAGGTTTTATTAACAAAATTTTCACTGCAATAAAATAGGATTTTTTTAAAAACCAACGCTAATAGATGAATGTATTGTCTTTGAGCTAGCAATGTTGTTGGAATGAGAGCTCTTTGGTTCCCTCTACAGGTGAAGTGGGAGAATTGAGCAAACTGGAAGAAGCCAATATCAGTGGGCTGGAGTAAATCTACAGCAAAGCGAACCTGCTGCATTAATTTGAGTTAGATGGGGATGGATTTAAGGGTGAGGCACTGCTGGTGCTTTGCTGTGAACCAGAATTGTGTGGTAGTTGAGCACAACTCAGATGATCAATTAGTTTGGTGATTGATTTGTTTGGTTACCCAAAATAACACTGGTTGTGTTCCCCATTTACCAAGACTGCATGTGTGTGTGCAAAGGGAAGAAAAACAACATTAATGGTGACTAGGGTAATTATATTTGAACTTCCAAGAGTGGTACATGTGAGTACGGTTGTAGATGGGGCTCAAATGTTTTATTTATTCAAAAGGAACTTTTAAATCTGACCCTTGCTACTGAGATTGTCCATTCACAGGGAGCTGATCTGAATTCTCACGATTCACTCCTACTGCAGTTAACCTCTCTATACCCACCCACATTGATAATTCATCTCCATTCTGGCCTCTCAGCATCCTTGGCTAATCTATTCCTAGCCACCCTCCTTCCCTGGATATGCACTCCTCCTACATACCTTTCAATACAATACATCAAAAAACCCTTTCATATAATAGTAGTAGAAGGGCTAATAATCCAGTTTTACCATTTATCTCATAGGGTGCTGTATATTTGATTAATTCAAATATTTTATAATGTGTATTTTTGGCCTGATCCTGAAGCTTATTGAGTCCTCTCTACTCCCACTGACTTCATTTGGAGTTGAGGATACTCAGCATCTCACAGCATTGGGCCCTTGTAAATGGGAATGCTTTGTGCTCGCAGAAATGTACGGATCTGTCTGTGGGTTTTGTTAGCAGCAGCTCAGTCACTGGAGGCGGAGTTCCCAGAAGAGCAGACAAAAGCCAGAGCCCTTCCTGTCAATAGATAAGAGGAAGAACCCAAATGGAAAATTTAGGCTTTCTGTCTAGTCTACTTAGACTGAGCTCATCTCTGTGGCATGTGAGTTAGTACAGTGAGGGCCTGAGCCAAAGTCCATAGAAATCAGTTGGTGTCTTTCCATTCACTTCACTGGGTTTTAGATTAGTTCTGTTTTGGGGGGAAAATGGATTCCCTGACAGTGGCAAAGTGGATGATTGTCAGTCTCCCCGTCCAGGTGATTCCTCAGTGGGTGGTGGTTATAGCGGCTGTGTTCAGTCCTGACCCCGGGCGATGGAAGGGATATGGTGTACAGTGGCTCAGTTACTGACTGTTACAGTGGGATGGCTGATCAGCAGCACACATGAAATGAGTTAGTTGGGGCTTGTTCCGTGGCCAGCAGACTGATGGCCACGCCACAGACCATTATTACAACTGTCATTAATTATCCCCCTTTTTAACACTCTCCATAGAAAGAACAGGGAGGGAATGGGGGATGCAGAATGACCTGTTCTTTAACCCCTGAAGGTGTAATGTCCAGGTCATTGCTGGGGAACACACATGGTGTCATGGGGAAATTGTATGGTCAGTTCTGGTGTGGTACTAATTTTGTAGATTAACAATAGGTCTTCAGTCACCCAGCTTGTTAATCTGGCACTTTTCACCACCACTAAATTCACTTACATACATGGCTCGTAGCCCTCATCCCCTGTAATTAGAACTCAGGTGACAATATGCTCATGAGTCAAGTCATAGTCCTTATCTGTAAGGGGCAGGGACTTTCATTTACTATATGTTTGCATCGTGCTCAGCACAATGGGGCTGAAGCCTGTCTGGTTTCTAGGCACTACCACACTATAAATGTAAAATAATAAAAGCAGGTGTGATGTTGTACTCCATATTCTTTGTGGAAATATGCTTATGAATATGAATATGACATAACTGGAATATGCTTTATGCAAAATTCTTCATGTAACATATAATTGGAAAGGTTATAATTTACTGAATGTGTTTATCCTATTTGTATGCATGTATAATTTCTGTAGCTGAAATTAGGAATATTGACCTGTGTATCTGTATTTCATATTTGCTGCTTTGGGTCTCTCCCACTGCTAACACTTCAGGTACAATAATGGAAAAGCCAGACAGTGCTAATGACTCATCAGCTAGTACAACAGGCTGTGAAAACATTTTGGCTTACCTTCCTGCCGATGTTCCATGCTGCTAACTCATGGACTCCGGGATACTACAGTCACATGGTCTGGTCACCTGATACTGAACACCACCTGGGACTTTTTGTAACTTTCGGAGTGAAGGGAGGGGGTTATGTTTGGGAGACAAAGGATTCCTGCCTTATGCTAATCCTATTTAAGGGAGAGGAATGAGGTAATCCTGGTCATCAGTGCTCCCCGGCTACCCCACCCAAGATGACTGCTGGAAACAACTAAAGACTGAACTGGGGACAAGCCCTGGACCCAGACTGGAAGGGTATCCAGTCTGTGCAAAGATTCTTGGAACAACTGTGAGGGTGAGATACTACATGTAACAAGTTTCCTTAGTGTATTAAGCTTAGTTTGCATGGTCTGTTTTATTTTGCTTAGTAACCTACTTTGTTCTGTCTGTTTATGACCACTTAAATCCTACCTTTTATCCTTAATAAAATCACTTTTGTTTATTAATAAACCCAGTGTAAGTAATTGTGACTGGGGGGTGGGAGGGAAGGGGGTTGGCAAGGAGTCTGTGCATATCTCTGTTTACTTTGAGAAAGGACGAATTCTTATGCGCTTATGCTGCATAGTTTTCTATGCAGCATAAGACACATTTATCTAGGATTCAGGCTCCCAGAAGGGCTGTGCACTTGGGTGCTGAGGCAAATCCCTTTAGCTGAGCTTTTCCAGAGCTGATCTGATCTCAGCATCTGTATTCTGCAGAGGGGTGTGGCCCTATCTCTGGGTCTGTGCTGGAGGGCCTGGCTCAGCAAG